ATTGTTATTTTGCCATTTATTTTTATCCATTTATTAGTATCTATACTAGTTTCAAAAATAATTTTGAACTTTTAAAGGCAATTATAACATGATGTTGACCTGGGTCAAACCTGGGTCAATTAAATCATGACCCAACCCAACCCGTTCGGGTCAACCCGTGAGTTGACTCGGGTCGACCCGACTCGTTTCAGAGCTCTATGTTCAGCACACAAGTTATAGGTATGTTTTTTATTGCATTGTTTTGTATAAAATCAAAATACTGATTATATTCTCCTTTTTTTTACCATTAATTCATTAGCACATCAAATGACATTGTATGCCCTTAGCATGCAGTACGATGGCATATTTTTTACATATGAGCTAAAGACTAGTGCCATAATCCAAAAAAGGAAAAAGTATGATTGCAAAAGTGGTTGCAAAGGTAATTGTGACCACTTTTCATATGCTGTAAATACAATTACTACCATCACCATAATTTATGGCACTAGTCTTTAATATGAGCTTGCATCAGCAGAATTGCCGTTTGATTTCCATTCAAGGTCAAAGTATATGGCAGTCTTGCGGTTGATGGCTATTTTCCATGTAAGTGAATAGTGTAAATATACTATATAAATAATTTGTATGCCCTTATATTTAACTATTTTTGCTATTTTTAGGATGAGATAGTTCAGCAGAAGGCAGTTATGGATAAAATCGATCATATTCTCATTTCTTGAGAGGGTAAATGCATTTGTGATGTTTTGAAGATTCTGGCAAATTTACAAAATATATGAGCATATTGTATAATTACAGAATGAATATATTTGTATGTTGTTTTCATGTAATAAAGGATCAAAAATAGATTATGTAATTAACACTAATAAAAAATATTGCTAATGTGGACTATATGGGGTCTGATCAATAGAAATGAGGCATGTCACCAAAAAGTTGATTTTGAGTTAACAATATTTTATATGTAATTCATCACAAAGAACATTTTTAGCTTAGTAACTATACATGCAGCCCAAAGTATTTTGACACTGTCATAAAGGGGGTTACACATCTAGTAAAGGGGTGTTACACTTATGTTTTTAATAGCGAATGCTGTAATTAATTTCTACTTTCTACCATCAAAATTGGAATAATTTTGACCATTAAAATCACCAAACCAATTTGGGCTGCATGTATATTAGTAACTATACCCACTTTGCTTATAAATGTTTTGAGATATTTGAGAAAAAGTGAAATGGCATTAGTCCACATGATGTTACATGAGCAATTATTATTATTATTATAAATAAATGAATTTTTGAATGTTTAATAAAATTTAGCAATGATCTACAAATCATGAATTTTGGGGGTCAAAATCTTATTTGTTGATTTTCTCAAAACATGATTTTTTTGACATGCCTCGTTTCTATTGATCAGGCCCCATATATACTTATTTTTTTGAAAATATCTTTCCTTTTACTTAACTGAGCCTCTGGCTTTTTTTAATGTGTGTGCATGTAATATTCACAAATATAAATTTTGTAATCTACTGTGTCTGCTTCACATGTAAGTTTATCACCCACACCTTCATTCACTAATTCCTAAGACTAATCCAAATAACATGGAATGGATCCTGAGAAATTTGCAGTCATTACTGAGGCTGAGAAAAAAAGATGGGATGGAGAATGTTTTTGTGAGGACTTGGAGAGGGATATACACTTCTATCGTAGTGGAATAGAAAGTAAAGAAGACCCTATAAAATATTATGAATTTTTAACAGATCAGAGAGGCTGGTTGGTGAAGAGTTATCATGTCATGGTATACTAAAAATTGGTTTAAGTACTGCATGGCTCGATGATCTGATGAAAGAATGGAAAGAAATCCACACTCAATTTATGCAAATTTTTAACTAGACGAGAATATAAATGTAACAATACATAAATCATTTTCCACAATCACATGGGGTTGCTCCCTTGGGGCTCCATGTCACATGCATGCAGATTAACATTTACCGAAATATGATATAACTTATTTTTTTCTGTGTATATAAATGTTTAGAAGATTAAGATCAGGTACAACATGCTTATCACCTAAAGCAATTAGTGATATTATTACTGCCAAGAGTATGGCAAATGCATTACCAATTCTAGCTATAAAATATGTGTTTTAACACTAGCTCTGCTATAATGTATCATATAAACAAATTTGTGAAATATGGTGACTTGCTATTGCAATAAATAATTAATGTTATACAGCAATTCTTACAGATCAGGAAATTCATACATTATTTGTGGAAAAAAATTCAAACAATGGAGTTTACAATATGCTGATAAAATATATTAATATAATTTCGCAAATCCATAAAACATTTAATCAGTAATACTGTGGAAATAGGATTTCACAATCTTTATTTTACAAATTTTAAGTGTGAAAGGGTGTTCTGAGCCAGAACAGTATCATGTGTCTCTATGGCATAGTAACTATTCATGATTGCATGTGCAATGAAATTATAGCCACAAAGTGACTGCAAAGCAATCCTGGTAAAATAAACATTAGATTGATAGAGCCAGTGTCTGAAATTGAGCGCGGGGTTTGTGTTACATAAAAAATGCGCACATCTTGATCACAAAAAATATTTTTTTAAATATAAATTTATTTGATAATATCTAGGGGTATGGGGGGGACAACTCAATGTAACACATATAGATTTGTCAATTTCAAAACTGTCACCCTATATGAAATTCATAGTGTTTATTAGTAAATAAAAATAAAACATGAAACACATACAAATTAACCCTAGTTAAAATTTTCATACTTGTAAGAAAAAACCTTCAGCTTTCTTTTGATATAAATTTTTTCAAAGTATCTTTCCTAAAGCTTCAAAAAAATACCATCGGTTGTAAAAAAAAAATTTTCTTTGTATTTTCAACATTACACTTATTATTTACAAGCTTTTATATATGTATATACAACTTTAAACAGTATAAACTTGTTTTAATCTCGGGAATTTGGTTTTCTTTATTAATATTAATAAAAAATAATGAATAAAAAATAAAAATATTTATTTTTGAAGCTATTTATTATGACATTGTGTATACATACATTTTATAAAAACTAAGTTGGATGTTTGACCATCCTAAACCAATGTTGCAATTTAAAAATAAGGTTGTATTTAAAATACATAATAATATATACACCTTATATGTAAATTTAATTTTACCTCATGACCCATATGTACATGAGTATACCCATTATTTTTATATATATACAATCTTTTATATATTACATGTAATATTCAGTTCTGTTTTTTCTTCTGTCATCTCTGAAATAATAATAAGAATAAAAATAAAAATGATATTTTCTTATTTAATAATAATTTATATATATGTATATATGTGTGTACATATATATGGGGAGTTTTCTATGGTGCATGTCACCTATAAACATCAAAAATGGTCACCTGACTTTAAAAGTTTATAGCACAAAATTTTTATATCAAAAAAAAAAAATTGAACCATATACTTTTGTTTCTTAGGTATTAACTTACAAAATTATATGGTTCAATTCTTTTTTGATATAAAAATTTTGTGTTATAAACTTTTAAAGTTAAAATTTTTATTAACAAATTCAAAATTTCCGACTAAAATTCTTTCCATAAAAAGTAAGTGATCGCTGATAATTTTCATTAGTTTATGTCGCACCAATAAAAACATCCATTTTTTAAGGGTAGGGGAATCACGTGATAAATCAATAGTAAATCCTAGGGGTTAGGGGGTTCAATACGAATGTTACACATTATGATTTCACAAAACCAAAACTGTCCTCCCTCGAAATATATAAAATTCAAAATTTTATATAACAAAATAACATTTTTACTTTGTAAACTTTTCAAATAAAAATAAACACTTTTTGATTCAAAAAATGTTGGTTCCTTGGGGTGAAAAAAAAGTAGTAGTCAGGTTTTTTTTACATTTATAGTTTAGTTTTATTTATTTTTTTTTTCAAAAATCAAAATTTTCCAATTACAATAATTGGTTTAATGTCAAAGCTTTATTTATTAAACATTATGTTTTTTGCTAATACTTCTTCTTTAAATGGTGTATTGGCCTTCAAGTGTTGTAATAGCAAAGGTACTAGAAAATTTTTTTGTTTATATGCTGTAGTAACTCCCAAGGCATTAAGTAACCAAATTAATTCAGTTGAAAAGTATTAGTAAAATGAATTTAGCATCCTCCAATTCTGCCCAAATATGAAGTTGATTGAGAGCTAAACTGGGTTTTGTTGATAGGCTTGTCTTTTTTATTACATTTTCTTTTTTGTTATTATTATTATTATTATTATTATCAACTTTTTTTGAACACATCATCTTAAGATTTTCTCTAAGGCTTGCAGTACCTTTTTCAGGAACT